GAAGGCATTCGGAGCAAAAAAAAAAAAAAAAAATGAATGAATAATAGCCAGGCCTGGTGGCACATGCCTGTAATCCCAGCACTCAGGAGGCTGAGGCAGAAGGATTACCACAAGTTAGAGGCCAGCCTAGCTACAAAGTGAGCTCAAGGTCAGCCCAAACTACAGAGTGAAACCCCGTCTTAAATAATAATAACAATAATAATAATAACAATATGCTTAACCATAGAAAAAAGGTCTACAGTTAATATACACAAAGATAAACCAATACTGATACACAGTAAATCAACAACTATGCTTCCAACAACAGAAAAGAACTCAGCAATAATATCAAGAATGAACTAAATACCTAAAGATTAATACAGCTTAATTGGTATACTAGTAAGATGGAGTAGGGAAAAAGGAAAATGAAAGAAGTAAAATTTGAAAAATCAAGGAAGGAAACACGAGGAGAGAGAAGTGAGACAAAGGATCCTACTATGGGGTAAGAAAATATTAACAGACTCGAATAAAACTAACAGAAAAGAACAAATAAGAAAAAGGCAGCAAAATAAAAAAAATAAAAGAGGCAATAAATTATCAGGCCTCGAGGAACTGACAGAAGGAGGGAAAGAGGGGGAAGTGGAGGAAGAAGAGAAGGGAAGGAAAGAAGGAGGAGGAGGAGGGATGAGTCCAAAAACCTGCCGTATGTTTTTGCAGGACTCTTTTCTTCCCTGGGTCTGCAGCCTTAGGATCCAGCAGATAAGGGAGATGAGCAGTAAGTCCCCACTAAGACCTATTTTGTTTCTGTGCTCAAATATCTCAGTGTCAGTGTTGGACCCTAAATCAGTTCTCTGCCTAGCTCTACATGCCTGTGCACTTATGAGGCGTCCCAACCCCACCACAGAAGCCTCTCTGCCCATACTCCCCAGGCTATGGCAATTGCCCAAGCTGAGGCATGCCCATATTCCCTGGCAGACTGAGAAATCAGTCAGACCACTGTCTCTATTCCCGACGCAGCCAGCAGAGTGGAGGAGCTCAAGCCGTCTTCTAGACGTAATGGCAGCATTTCCAGATCCAGCCACTGCTGAAAGCCACATGCGGCAGGCCTCCCTTCTCACCACAGGATAGAACCTCTGTGTGCCTCCTAACCAAACCTAAACTTCTCAGGCAGTCTACGTCCAATCCACTCCCACTGTGGCCATCTCCTATAGCCATCTCCCATCCAGTCCTGTGGGGGGCAGGGGGGCACCAGAGAGCATGGAGCACACTTTCCTGGCAGCTGCTCTATGGCTCAGTCCCAAACAATTAGCCCTTTCCCAAGACGGCTCCAAGTGAAACGTCAGATGTGCAGATGCTACACTGGACCACCCCCCGCTAGCAGCCTGCCTTGTGGAAGCAGCCACTTTCAAAGTAAAAACCCACTCTGCTTTTGTCGTTTACAACAGCCACCGGCATCTGACGGGTCAGCGCTACTGGGCCAGTCTGCTGTCTCTCCCGGGAGCTGGTGACCCTGCTGGTGAGCTTTGTTCTCCATTTCTGTGTAGCTGATGGCTCTTTAGATTCCGCATAAAAATGAGATCATAAAGTGCTTCTCTTTCTGTGCCTGGATGATTTCATTCAGTGGACATTCTCTGCACTTATCCATGCCCTGGGACAGTGGGGTGGCCAGTGGCCTGGGAAAAGCCCTGCCACCTCCACAGCCCAGACAGAAGCCAGGCAAAGCTCAGAGGTCGGCACCACACAGGCCTGTGAGGGTGCAGAACACCTCGAGCCATCACATGGCTGTTGGGAGGGAAACAGTCTGGGACCAGCAGTTCTCACCAAGAGGCCACAAGTACGCGGCCACACACAGTGGACGCTAGCACTCACGCCGGCCTGTCCTCAAGGGACTGTCCATCCAGGACACCGTACCACATGAAACTCACTGTCCACCCACAGCACTGCGCTCTTCTTGGGCTCTGCGGCAGGCTCAGCCTGGCGCACGCTCTGCAAGAGGAGGGGCTCTGAGTCTCCGTAGGATGTACTCGTTCACATCACTGGTACAGCCACCCGGGCAGGCCCCTGGGCAGGAGCTGTACAGCACCACTGCATCCGCTGGCGGAGGGCTCTGAGGCAAACCAAGGCTTCCTGAAGGAAGACCTCAGCCTCCAGACTGCGCTGTCCACGCCTGCGTGGCGGGCTCCAGACATACCAGTCCCACAGCCAAATTCCCTGCCACATCCACATAGCACTGGAGGATGCTGACACGCAGGGGCCTTGGAGATGACCTTCTGAGCAGCAGCAGGAGATGAGGCAACGCCAGAGGCTGCGACACCGAGCAGAGCTGGGAGGAAAGAGGACTCAGCGGGGCCACCAGCCCAGGTCCACCACGTGACAAGACAGGAGCTGCCACCCACCTCCACCCCAGTCACACAGCTAGTTGGACTGTGTGTGCTCTAGACTCTGCTCTATAAATCCCCTGACAGACACAGGGCATGTCTGCTGAGGGCGATCGTAGAGACAGCCTATCCTCTGTTCATCTTTCTTGCCTCTGTCCTCCCCAGCCACCCCCTCCCCCAGCAGGGCTGACTCTACAGCCTCCAAGCTAAAACACTCCAACACCACCAGGGCTGTGGGGCAGAAGCCAGGGCCAGTTCACTGAGCACTGCCATGCAGGGTATCACATATGGGTGACATTCAGGGGACATTCTGGGGTCGTGAGCTCTGTGATGAGCTTTGCCCGGCATGAGTGTGGCTGGGTTCTACCCTCAGCTCCACAAATGAGAACAAAAGGGATTTCCCACCGGGGATGGCCCAGAGGAAGCCTGGGCTCTCCACTATAAGGTACCAACGAATGGTACAGGCAGCGGGGGCAGCGGCAGGCACACCACCTCCCTGACCAGCAACAACGTCAACCACGACAGACCAGCAGTATGTCCCTCAAGCCAAAAGAAGCACTGTCAGAACATGTAGAACCAACACTGGAGGCCCTCAGTTCGGATCAGGAATACATGGCCCTGGGTCTCGCCGTGTTCCCTGGGCCATCACATCCAATTGAGCAGGCTCTGTGAAACCCTGGTCCCCCTACAGGGCAGCCTGTCATGAAAGCAAGGACTCCACCCTCAACAGTCAGTCCACCTATTACAGGAACTCTCCAGAAGATTTGTTACAGGCCAACAGCAGCACTCCCTTGTAGAGAGGGCAGGTACAGCTGAGGGAAACCTCACTCCGTACTCTTTCTGGCACTGGTGTCCGACCTGGGCCACAGTAAGTCTAGAGTATCTGGCTGTGGTACGAATGGCACTGAGGACCACAGAGGCACCAGGCAGTCTGAGCAAGCACTTGCAGTCCAGCAGACAAGGCTGAAAGGGCCAACTCCAGGCTCACATGAGGCAGAACCATTGGGGCCAACCAGGGTCAGAGACACAGATACAGCAGGAGCAGCAAGGAAACCCAGCCTAAAGGCCACACAAAAAATCCCACCTGCAGGAAGTCACACACATGGCTTAACTGTGCTGCCTGGCCCCAGCACAAGGTTGGGCTCAGGATGGATTTGAACTGCGCCTGATCTCAACCTTCCACCTGACCCTGTATCACAGCTGGACTTAACATGAATCCATCTGTGTGGTGTGACCTGGCCCTCCCACCCAGCCTGGCTCATGGCTGAACTTGGCATGGACCTGAGCACAGGCAAGCACTTAGGGATAGAGAAGCCAGAGCCTGCACATGGCAAGAAGAACACTTATGACCGGTAAGCAAGGACAGAAATTAAGCAACCCCAGGAGAGCGGCGTCATCACACATATCCAAGGAAATGAAGTTGTGCACTTTCATAGAATTATTTATCCAAAGGATTGGATCAGATCATATCATATCATATCATATCATATCATATCATATCATATCATTCCATTCCATCCCTCAGAATTATTTAACTGCTTTATCACTGGGGTAGGAAGCATCTTGCCTAAGTTTTGAAAATTTTTACATTTAGGAGGAGACACAGAGCCCTGTTCCTCTCAGGCAGGCTGAGAATGCTGCCAACCCTGAAAGATCAAGTGCCCCCTCGGCCCAGTGGTTCTGTGCACACTACCTCCCTGGGACACTTGGGGAGGCCCTGCTACAGGGACAGGCACTCATGCCCTATGCTCTTGGTGACGCGGGTAGGCTGAGGCCTGAGGCCGTCTCCTGCTTTGCCCCTCATGGACTGTAGGGTGAAGAGGGGACAGTGACAGACAGAAGGCATCTGGACCTGGTTCTTAGAGGCCAAGTTAAGGACACAGCTGGGCTCCCTGGCCTCTGGGATGTATGCATCCAGATGCCAAAAAACAAAGACATGGCCAGGCAGGTGCAGCAGAAGGCCAGGCAGGTGCAGCAGGCCGGCGGGCACAGCACATAAGCAGCCCAGAGCCACAGTAGGCAGGGTCACCCTATAGGGGCACACTGTTAAGGGAAAGACAGATGAGTTCATGTATGACAAGGAGTAAGTTAAGTGGGGAACAGAACACTCCACCACTCGCAGCCCTGGGCTACTGGTCCACCCATGGTGCTTCTAGGGTTAGCAGAGCAGCCAGAGTCCTTTACAGTACACAGAAGGCCACTGCATCCAGGGTACGTGGAGGACATGACGGGTGAAGCACAACAGCTCTCCAGTTACAGGACAGCATCCTGACAAGAGGGCCCAAAAGTGCAAGCTGTTGGGTCCTAGAGCCCAGAAATGGACCCCCTCATCCTCCTCCCAATCCCTGGAGACCAAAGTCGGAGCGCAGAACTGCTGAGGCGCACAAACATTGCCCAGGACACCATCCCACTAGGGTCTCTCTGCAGCACAGCACTAGGACAGCCCAGCCCCAGCAAGCAGCACAGGTTCTTGACTGTTCTACACCAGCTAACCTCCTGCACACAGGGTGTGCAGCGTAGCAGCAGGGGTGTGGGGTGCAGGTATGGGGTGGCCTGCCGCCCTTGTCCACGGTGGCTGCACCAGCAGACTGCAACACTCAGCTCCAATCATGAGCAGGCACATTTCCAGAGCAGCATCCTTACCTTTCCCAGGACTCAGGTTCTGGTCTATGAAGACCTTGAGTTCTCCATTGGCTTCAATTAGACCGGCCTGCAGAGAACAACAGCAATGGTCAATACAGTGTCTGCAGAGCCATGGCCACAGCTAATACACTGGCCCTCACAAGCACCCTAATTCACTTCCTAGACAGACAGAGGGCTGCTGCCAGACCACCATGACCTGATACGGTGTGCTCCATCAGCCATGCATTCACAAAAACCTGAGGTAGTGGGGAGGCTCCTGGAAAGTGCTAAGTGCAAGGCCATCACACTAACACAGGGCAGAACACCTAAGGACCTCACTCTGCAGGAGCACTATGGAAACCTGGCATTTTCCTCCTGCCCCAGAGAAAGCCCAGGCCTGAAGCCCAGGCCAGCCCACCCAGAGAGTTTGGGTGCATCTGCAAATGTACTCAGCACACGAGCTGGGCTAGCAAGAGGATGACAGAGCTCACTGTCCATGTGACACAGATGGGGCTGAGGGTCATGTGTGAGAGGGCATGACTCCAAGCCCACAGGGCCACTGGCAACTTCCTCAGAGCCCTAGGGACAGGAGGAGATAGAGCTGCCCAGTTCCTAAAGATGCCAAGATCAGGCAAGAGACCATGCTGACCGACACGTCAACAGGTTCAATCGCCCTTCCTGAGCCAAACACAGTGGATAAGGCCAGGAGGGTGCCCCAGGACCCTGAGCATGCGTGAGGTGGGGATCAGTAAGGACAGGGGAGCAAAGTTGAGCAGGAGTCAGGGTAACACCCCAGTGGTAAGGGCAAGAGGTTACAAGCAGGCAGGTAAGGCCAGATGACAAGGCCAGGTGCCTGTGGCCCAGTGTAGGGCTGGACGACGAGGCCACGAGGTAGAGCAAAACGAAGACAGGAAAGAAAGAATGAAGACGAGGGGGTGTGACCTCAGGGGATACAGGTGAATGATGTCACAGGCCCAGTGGGTGAGGTCCTGTGGTAGAGTCAAGGTGAAAGGCTGAAAGTTTACAGCTAAGCAGGTATGGCTGGTTCCGTGAGCTGAGAGGTTCCTAACAGTGGGTGAGCACCAACCAGTGGTAAGGCCAGGTGGGCAGTTCAGAAGGCTCGGGCCAGGGAAAACCAGGTGCACAAGACCAGATCAATAACAGCGGGGATGACGTTGTGGCTGTCAGAGCACAGAAAAAAAGGAAGGCCAGGCCACGCCAGGGCGAGTTAAAGCCAGGGAGCAAACCCAGGGTATGGCCAGGAAGGTGTGGTCACACAGGCCAGGGCAAGGTGCACAAGGCCAGCAAAGGAAGGTCCACAAAGTCACACTGGGCTCTAGGTCACCAGGGCACGGCCTCAGGACAGGCCCAGGGGAACACGTCCAGGCGGGGCTGGGTAAGACCCAAACACAAGGCAGGAGATGATGCCCAGAGGAACGGCGACATGGTGAGGCCAGGCAGGTGGCTGAGGACAGCACAGCACAACTGTGAGCAAACATGTGGGAACTGGTGGCTCAGGCAGAGCTTAATGACCAAAACTGCAGTGCAGGGGGTGGTGAAACCAGGAGGCAAGGCCAGGCTACCAGGTCAGGTGGGCCAGGACGGGTGGAGAAGGCCAGTGAGCCAAGGGCAGGGCAAGGCAGGAGTCTGATGGCCAGGTATTCTGCACCACAACCCAAGAGGTTAAGGCCAGAGGAAAAAAGAGCAGGTAAGGCTGGTAAATCAAGGTAGGAGGTTAGCGCCAAGGCAAGGCCTAGAAGGCTGGGCCAGTCAGATCCCGTGCATACAGCCTGTAGCTTCAGATCAGGCCTGGAGCTGTGGTTTGGTGACATGCAGGGGTCCCAGGGAAGCACAGGGACCAAGAAACAAGAGGACACCACAAAGCCACAGAGCCACAGAGTCTTGGCATGTCTTAACACCCATGGCCTCAGCTGTACCTCCAAAGAAGCCTGGCCTAATTATGTTCCTCAGGTTTCTGTCCTTTGCACTTAAGAAGTCAATACAGGGCTGGGGAGATGGCTCAGTGGTCTAAAGCACCCACTTAGAACAAGCTTAGCAAAGCACAGGGACCGCGGTTCAATCCCCAGCACCACATGCCAGCCAGCCCCGCCCCCTGGTGGGCTGAGCTGGCCACACATACACACATAAATAAATAAAATTTAAAAAAAAAAATCTTAAAAAAAAAAAAAAAAAAAAAAAAAAAAAAAAAAGAAGTCAATACAAAAGAGCTGGCCACATCTCAACACTGCAAGCTCACCCTGCAGATGCACTGGTCCAGGCCCCGGGATGCAGCCCACTGTGCACCTGTGCCCTAACAGGCCCCTTCCTTCCTGTACTTTCTCCAGGGAGAACCAGCCACATTGGCCGTGGGCAACTTCCCAGCAGGGGCCTGAACCTGACCTCACTGCATGGGTCACCACAGCATCAGGGCTCCACCACAAGCCAGCCACCCCACACCTGTGACAAAATCACCTCTAGACATTGCAAAACTACTCTCAGCTTAGAACCACACCCTGCAAGGCATGATTTAAGGACTACACCACCCCTCAAACAGATCTGTTCCCCAGGGCTGAGAGGTGAGCACATGCCCACCTCACACTTGGCCCTGGCTCTGTGTGGACCTGAGACGGCAGGGCAGGAGCCAGCTGAGCAGGGGCCAGGCAGCCGCTGTGCTGCCCGCCTATCATCTGCCTACCACTGCACACCCCACGGCGGGTGTTAAGGGTACAGAAAGCCACTCTTTTGTAACACAAGGTGTCAAAATCACAAAGGAAATGCAAGCTCTCTTTTCTAGAAAGGAAATTAGAAAATAAAGCCACCCAGAGTTCCTCAGTTCACAGGTCATACACAGAACAGTAATACAAAAATCTTTGCCAAGCCAGTGCTGTGGTAGTAGGCAACTTTGCAGGGCCGTGACATTGACAGGCTGACCTCCCACACCTGACCGATATCCTGGGGCCCACATGGCCTTCCTGCAGGAAGCCCATGCCATGGTTGGAATATCTGTCCCTCAAATCCCTATGCTGGGTGTGACCCCAAGGTGGTGGCCTTCATGGCGTCGTGGGGTGACAAGGTGGGGCCCTCATGATGAGCCTGGCCTCCTCTTACAATATGAGAGGGTGCTGCTCTGGACCATGACCATGAGACATATACTGCTGTCACCTAGCCACCCCTGTACAGGACTGAAATACTCCTGGCCCTGATGCACACTCGCTGTCCCTGAGTCCCATTCCTGGCAGAGGCCCTAGAGAAGCTGGAACCATATGGACACCTGGATAGCCATGAGGGAGCAGGCTCTGCTCACAGCAGGGTCAAGGCTCTGAGCCCCACCACAGCTCCTAGGACAGGGCACTGGGTTCCACCATGCCAAAGGCCACACAGAATGACAAACACATGCTGCTCCTGAGGCAGCCTGTTCCACAGCACTGGGAGGCACTGTGACCTTGGGCATCAGGGTTTGGAGGCATGCTCTGAGAGGATCCAGAGCTGCAGAATGCCCATGGAGGGCACTGTGGCATCCGGCATCACGCCGCTTCTTGCAGAAGCAGATCCCAAAGATGGCGATCCAGGGGCCGGGGCTGCTCTAGCCTCCCTGGAGACAAGCACCAGCCATTTCTGTGGTGTGGGCCCAAAGGCAGGCAGCCGCGTGGCGCTGGAGCAGCTACTGTGCAAGTGAAGGCTGCCCTTGGCTATCACCCACCCTCCAACACATGTCTCAGAGTAAAATCAGGGACCATGGTGGCCACCTTGGGCAGCACACCAGCACCCGTTTACATCCACTGAGTCCATCTCACGCTCCACAGGAGACAGGGGCAATCCTGGGATGCAAAGCCAGGGCCCTGCCTAGCAACCACAGAGCACCAGGCAACCGCCGGGGTTGGGCACAGCAGTGCATCGCGGGCTGTCAGCACACAGCCTGCAGGGTTCTCCACCTGCAACCCTGGTCTCCACTGGTGCCCAGACCACACGTGTCCCAGGCCACATCCTCAGACTGAACACAGAACACACCAGGACAGGTCAGATAACAGCCACTGTGGTTTCGAATGTGATGGTATCCTTGCCGGCTAATGTCACAACCCCAGTGAGGCCACCACAACGCACATAGGCAGCACTTCCAGCCTTGCCATGTCACAGCTGAGAGCTGAGGCCCACAGGAGCTGGACAGGCATCAAGCACAAGCTGCTCAATTCTTCAACATGCTGCAAAAACTGCTCCCAACCCAGAGGGAGTGCCTGGACTGCCTCCAGGGCAAAGCACAAGCCCCAGGGGCCAAGGTGGACCCAGAGCAAGTTCAGCCCTCACCGGGGCAGCAGAGACAGACCACGCTCCCAGGACACACCATCCACGACACAGGACTGTGGAGCCACAAGAATCACATTCCCACACAGCAGCCTTCCTGCATATACCAGACCAGGTCTCAGGGTAAGGACCAGGTCACCTCCGCGATGGCCATGGGAGGCCTTGTCACCACTGTCCTGATGGTACTAAAGCTGGTCACATGTCCCCAGATCAAGCACAGACTCTGAGGTAGGATAGAGCTGGGGCAGGGTGAGGAGCTGCCCTCCACACATCACGCTGCCTCGGCCTCCCAGTGGCAGCCAGGCCTTGTCCAGGTGGCTCCTTGGGGCCAGGACCGGGGCTAGAAGGGAAAGAAGGAGATAGGCAGAAGCCCACTTCACACCAAGGGCCCAGCACAGACCTGGGCACAATCCCAGAGCTTGTGGCCTGCCCTCACTTACCTCATGAGACCTACCAGCGCTTGCCACCCAGCAGCAGACTCTGGTCCCACCTGAGTGGGACCCCTGTGAGGGCCATGGCCAGGCCCAGGTGGGAGGGGCAGATGCAAGCAGCATATGCCAAAGGAAACACAATTCATTCAAGAATGGAGCAGGGAAGCACTGGGGAGATGAGGTGCAATGTGGGAGAGGGATGGCCTGATAGAGACAGCCCCAACATGGCTCTCCCAGCAGCCTCTGCACCAGCAATGGCTTGGTGGAGAAGATAAGAAAGCCCTTCATGAGCCCCTTCTCCATGCACAAAGGGTACAGAGCCAAAGACAACGCACTGTCAGTCAGCACAGACATGAAC